ATGTTGTATGTACACGATACTACAACCATTACTGGAAGACCCATGTGTACATGAAACTGTTTGTGTTGACTCTAAGGAAAAATATAGGGACATAGTTTGTGATGCTGCAAATGAATGCTTAAAGTTCAATTTACCTTCTGTCACTAATATGGAAAAGGCCAGCATTAGCTGTAGGATTGATGCTCTTTGTTTCTCACTGGAGTGCTCCTCTGGTATTCTCAAGTGGTTTGAAGACAAATTGAAACTAGTTGTGTTATCACTAACTTTCTGGACTAAGCATGTTGTCCCTGATATTCATTTGATCAAATCCTTGATATTGTGTTTCATTGTTTGTTCGCTGGACCGAGACCCTTCATCACATATACCACATTCCATAGATTCCGACTCATCTCAAAATAATGACACTCTTCATGTATTCTCAATGTGGCAGTGTGTCTATTATGACACTATGAAGCTCAACAACGTCCTAATGAATCCACTTTCATTTACAACACCAGCTCTCTTGTTTGATGGTAAGCTAGCTATGTATTATGCTAGTCTGGCAGACATTGATAGCACAGTTAGAATGGAACTGGTTTCTTCACTTCAATCACTAGCTTTGTTTAATTCACTGATGTTTGTCTGTACTGAGAGTCTAAAAGCTGCCACTAAAGATGGTGTACAGTATGATCAGACTGTATATTTTGAACTCAGTTCTGATTCAACTAGTAATGATAGTAATGAAGATGATGACAGTGATTGATTTTGTATTTTTGTTCATTTAATTTATTTTTGATAACTATTAGCTAAAGAGATTTTTGCAAACATAAATGAGCTGTAATATTATTCATTATCCATTAATTAATATGCATAACGAGCCCCACCTATTCAACGCCCACTTACTTAATTAGCTCATTTCATGGGCGGTGTCTCCTCCTAAATGTCAGCAATGCTATCTCATATTTACCTTCTTCTCTTTACTTCTCTTCTACTAACTAACAGAGACACAGTACAAGGTAACTTCTACTAGCACACATTATAATCTTTACTAATACACCAACAGGTCAATACGACGGCGCTCTTAGGCTTTGGAGGAACGGCCAAACATCTTTAGCTTATACTTTTGGTAGAGTACAAGTGTATTTAAAAGGACAGTGCGGTAACGTGTGCTGGAACTCCAATGCCGACTCTGTTTTTACTAAACAAGAAGCTGACGTGACCTGTAGGAACTTGGGCTACATTGGATCCTCGTACTACTCAACATCTAGCAACGACAAGTATTATGATGATAAAAATATTAACATTGATATTAAATACAATTGTTATTATAATAGCTTAGATCTATATGTAAGACTGAGGCCGATTTTTTATCTATATAGTATATGCATGTGGAGCATAACATGCAATAGTATTCTTCATTAAATCTATTATAGCAATGCTTCCTTCTTCTAGTTATGGTGTGGATCCTAGTCCTACTCTCATGTATAGAGTGCACTGTCCATCGACTGATAATAGATTATTACTGATGAGCTGCTCTCATGATACAGACACTATCAGCTCACACTGCACTGATGCCAATGATGTTGGTGTACTATGCTGTAAGTGTAATTCTGCTTGTATTATGCATGTATGCTACTACAGTTTATGTTGTATACCGTATATGCTATATATTTTGTGGGAAAAGTTTGCGAAATTAAAATCCACAAAACAGCATACTGATTATAGTAGGTGTGGTAATTACATTAAAATCGCGAAATTTTTATTTGCAAATTAAAAAATTCAGCCAAATTGCGAAATTTTATACCCACAAAATATATGGCAAATACGGTAATCTCTCTCTCTTCCTCTGATAGATTCTAGCAGAATATGGTTTGATCCGTATCCTGGTATGGTGAGACTATCAGGTGGTGATTATATTAATGAGGGCCTTGTTGAGGTATATTATAATGGTGTCTGGGGTAAGGTGTGCAACCTACTGTCTCATGATGCTAATACTATATGCAAGCAGTTGGGGTACACCTCTTCTCCACTGAATGCCACTGTGTAAGTAAATATGATTATTGGCTTTGGTAGCTTTGTGTGGGCGTGTTAATTCTTATATATGCATAATTTTTATTACAACTTTTATCAAATTTTGCAAGAATTTTAAAAATTTTTATGGGATTTCTAGCATAAAAATGATTACAACTTATTTTTTACAGAGTTGGTTTGCCTAGTCAAGTCCATTGGTACAATTCATTGCAGTGTTCTTCATTGAGTGATTGTGTTCATGAGTGTTCATCACTTCCTACCATTCCTGCTACTTGCTTTCATAGTGCTTACATTCACTGTGGTATGACTTAACAATCAATATAATGTTATACACTTATTATTTTTAACATGTACAGAGTATTCTGCAGGAAACTCCATCAATAATTTATACTCCTGTGATACCAGTAAGTCAGTATTAATAATTACCTTTACCATGTTTTTGATAAAAAT